CTGAGTTGTATTTGTGCATTTTAAAACATGTCTCTCCTTACTTTTGTCCTGTATAAATATTGTTTCATTTACTTTGAAGATTCTGTTCTGAGTTTTGTGTCCGTTCAATGTTTTCAAGTTTTCTTGAGGAATTGACTCCTTTTCGCTATGAAATGCTTGTATTTATTTTTGGTTTACTCTTTGTCTTTTTCTAGTTTTATAAGACAACATTTTTATTATTGATAAAAAAGTCACCTGTCTTGACTTTCAATGACCTATATTTTTATTTTCAGTTAGGATTTTTTCTAAAGATTTATAATTGAACCTTTCTATTTTATGCATATTAATAATATTTTCCTTTAATTTTACATTCCATTTGCATTTAAAGTCATTGATATCTTTTCAGTTTAGTTCTACCACTTTGTAATTGATTCCATATTTTGCCTGGGGGTTTACTGCTGCTCTATTCCTTCCACACTGGTGAACTTCTTCTATTATACCTTATAGAGAATACCTGAGATGATTTTATTTTTCAGCCTTACCTATGTGTGAATATTTTTATTTTCATTTTGAATAATACTTTGTTGGATATAGATTTTTAGGTTGCTGGTTTTACGTTAAGAATTTTTAAAATTTTATTTAAGGAATACAAATTTCATTCATTTCATATACACAGATTTAGATACATAGTTATCCTTCCCACCCTATTCTCCCTCCCACCTTTCTTCCTCCTCCTTCTCTTATTCCCACTCTTAATTTTTACAAAGATCTATTTTCAGTTTACTTTATATATATAAGATTGACCCTACACTAAATAAAGAGTTCAAAAAGTAGTGTGAAGAAAAAAAAAATTACTTCTCAACAGTGTAGACAAGAGCTGTAAATGATCATTGAATCTCAAAATGTCAATCAATCTCACTCCTGTACATTGCATTTTAAGTACTGTATTAGTTACCACAGATCAGGGAAACCATATATGTTACTTTATGAATTTAAAATATAGTATCATATTTTTCTTTTGTTCTTAATTATGTATAATGTGAACTCAATTCTAGTTCAAATGGCTAGTCTCCTATATGTAATGTCTTTTTCTCTGACTCTTGTCTCTGATTTTTCTTCTCATATTTGGTTTTTAGCAGTTTTCACTTTTTTGTCTGGATGTAATTATGTTCCTGTACAATCTGATGCAGTGACCTTTTGAGATCATTAATGGCATTGAGTGTGATAACTTCTCAGCTGTAAAATATTGCTTAAAAATATTTCTTCTTCCCCATCGTCTTCTTTTTTGTTTAAAGATATATTTATTTATTTATTTATTTATTTATTTTTTTTACTTTTATTTAATGCATATAAATTTCCAAAGTACGACTTATGGATTACAATGGCTTTCCCCCCATACCGTCTCTCCCACCCACAACCCTCCCCTTTCCCACTCCCTCTCCCCTTCCATTCACATCAAGATTCATTTTCGATTATCTTAATATACAGAAGATCAGCTTAGTATACATTAAGTATGGATTTCAACAGTTTGCTCCCACACAGAAACATAAAGTGAAAAATAATAGATGATTTTTTAAAATGATGATGAAATCAGATTAGACCTATTGTCATGTTTAATCCCAGTGTTGAGTCAAGTTGGGAATTGATAATTTCTTTCTGTTTTCTTTATCTACAGAGGATCAGTTTAGTATGCATTAAGTAAGGATTTCAACAGTTTGCACCCCCATAGAAACACAAAGTGAAATATATTGTTTGAGTACTCGTTATAGCATTAAATCCCAATGCACAGCACATTAAGGATAGAGATCCTACATGAGGAGTAAGTGCACAGTGACTCCTGTTGCTGACTTTACCAATTGACACTCCTGTCTATGGCATCAGCAATCCCCCTATGCTCCAGTCATGAGTTTCCAAGGCTATGGAAGCCCTCTGAGTTCTCCGACTCTTATCTTGTTTAGACAAGGTCATAGTCAAAGTGGAGGTTCTCTCCTCCCTTCAGAGAAAGGTACCTCCTTCTTTGATGGCCTGTTCTTTCCACTGGGATCTCACTCGCAGAGATCTTTTGCCAGAGTGTCTTGGCTTTCCATGCCTGAAATACTCTCATGAGCTTTTCAGCCAGCTCCGAATGCCTTTAGGGCTGATTCTGAGGCCAGAGTGCTATTTAGGACATCTGCCATTCTATGAGTCTGCTGAGTATCTCACTTCCCATGTTGGATCACTCTCCCCTTTATTTACTCCATCAGTTAGCGTTAGCAGGTACTAGACTTGTCTATGTGCTCCCTTTGACTCCCAGTCCCTTCACCATGACCAACTGTGAACTGAAACTGATCACCTGGAACAGTGAGATGGCATTGGTACGTGCCACCTCGATGGGATTGAATTGGAATCCCCTGGTATGCTTCCAACTCCACCACTTGGGGCAAGTCAGCCTGAGCATGTCCCAAATTATACATCTCTTCCCTCTCCCATTCCCACCACCATGTTCAACAGGGATCACATTTCAGTTAATTTTCAACACTTAAGAATAACTGTGCATCAATTACAGATCTAAACCAGTCATATTAAGTAGAACAGATAACAAAACTACTAAGAGGTATAATGTATTTAGTTGTTCATTAACAGTCAGGGCTATGCTGATCAAGCCACCATTTCCCATAGTGTCCACCTCACTCCAACAGGTTTTATTTATTGTAAAGTCAGAGTTACAAAGAGAGAGAAGGAGAGGCAGAGAGAGAGAGAGGGAGGGAGGAAGAGAGAAAGAGGTCTTCCATCCACTGGTTCACTCCCCAGTTGGCCACTATGGCCACAGCTGCGCTGATCCGAAGCCAGGAGCCAGGAGCTTCTTCTGGGTCTCCCACGTGGGTGCAGAGGCCCAAGGACTTGGGCCACCTTCTACTGCTTTCCCAGGCCATAGCAGAGAGCTGGATAGGAAATGGAGTTGCCAGGCCTCGAACCGTGCCCATATGGAATGCTGGCACTGCAGGCGGTAGCTTTACCAGATATGCCACAGTGCCGGCCCTGTGTCTTCTTATTTTCCTTCTGGCACTGCAATTATGATCTTGTTAGACATTTTGATATGTTCCCTCAGATTTCAGATGAAATTCTGCTTTGTCAGTTTATTTTTTTAAGATTTATTTATTTGAAAGACGAGTTATAGAGAGAGGTAGGGTGAGAGAGAGAGAGAGAGAGAGAGAGAGAGAGGTCTTCCATTCCACTGGTTCACTCCCCAAATGACTGCAATGTAGAGAGCTGAGCTTATTGGAAACCAGGAATTAGGAGCTTCTTCCAAGTCTTCCACGCAGATGCAAGGGCTCAAGGACTGGATCAGAAATGGAGCAGCTGGGACTCAAACCAGCACCCATCTGGGATGCCAGCACTGCAGGCAGCAGCTTTACCTGCTATGCCACAGCACTGGAACTGATTTTGTTTACTTTCCCATCATCCTTTTTAATCAGTATTTCAGTAGGGTTAGTGTTGATTGCTTGTCTCCTGCATAGATTGCTGGGGTTCATTATTCAATACCATGTATCATATTGGAGTGCCTGGGTTCAATTTCTGGATTTGGCTCATGACTTCAGGTTCTTGCCAATGCAGACCTGGGAAGGCAATGGTGATAGTTCAAGACATTGGGTTCCAGCCACCAATAAAGGAGCTCCTGGCTCCAGCCCAGGCCCAGCCGTTGCTAACGTTTGGGTTGTGACACAGCAGATGGGAGGGCTCTCTCTTTTCCTCTCAAATAATAATAATAATAACAATATATTTAAAAATCTGTAACATGTGTTCTCTGCTGCTCTATCTCACAAAATGAAGCCACCTGAGACTGCATCCCAGTCTCTCTCTTCAGCTTAGCAAGATTGTTTATACGTTGTCTTCTTTCCCTTTCCATACTGTATAGTGAAAAGTGTCTCCAAAAGTCAGTAAAAGGTTCATGTTTTTATTCGCTATCTCAAGGATCACAGTTTTGCACTTAATCATTTCCTGTGTTTGAACATCTTTGTTTTGTATATTTTTACATTTTCTATTTTGCTGCCAATTGTGGAAAGACTGTTCAATACCATTGTTTGGTCAGGAACAGAAGCCTCTGTTTACAGAGAATGATATTACAATCATATTTATGACTACATAAGAGAAGCATAAAATAATTCAGTTATAAGAATATGCTGTAATTTCAAAACGATTTAAAATAGTTTTAGATAATTCCATATTTCGTGTATACAATCAATTTAAAAGCTAGATGATTTCCTACAGCTGATTTCCCTCTGATATTTCAACCTTCATGAAATATTGATAACAAACATGTTGGCATTTTTGAGAATTAATTTCAATAGGAATATATAATTAAGATCACTTAAATTACCAAAGTGTTTGAAATAACCAAAGTGTTTTTTAAATTAAATTTGAGTAAATATTAAGGCATTATGATTTTCCATAAAAAAAAAAACAATGAAAACAGAATATAGTATTTTTTTCAGTTCACTTGTGAGTATTTTGATAACTGATTTCCAAAAATTATCTTCAAAAGCTCATGTTATAACTAATATGATATTCTAGGTTTTTTTTGGCATTTGGAGATTTTGTGGTAAATTTTCAGTCTGATTTTTGTCAGTAGGATCCTGTATTTGCAGTTATGATATAAAAGTTAAATTATATCAAGTTAGATTGTAAATATTCCTACAACTTGATGAATAATTTATTATCTTCAAAGATTATGCTACATAGTTCAACTTCAATTAGTAGTCTCTTTTCTATTTTGGCTAATGATATGAAGTAGCTAAAAATCTTCAAATATCCCTTAATCTGCAAAGTTACCTATAAAAATATTCTTCAGTATTTAGGACAAAGTTTCCATGATCTCTGACTCTCTAATTGGACCTTGTCTGCAATACAGAAGATATATAATACATTTTTGTTAAGTATGAAATTCTGCATTCTATTCGGCATAAAGATACTTTCATAGTAGTAATATGAGAACTCATTCAATAATTGGATACTAACACTATATTTTGTGGCTTCTCCTACAGGCTCTTAAATCTGATCTACAATGGAAAAATTTCTTTTTTATCTGTTTTTCATTGGCATAGCAGTGAGAGCACAGATCTGTCCAAAGCGTTGTGTCTGTCAGATTTTGTCTCCTAATCTTGCGACCCTTTGTGCCAAGAAAGGGCTTTTATTTGTTCCACCAAACATTGACAGAAGAACTGTGGAACTGCGGTTGGCAGACAATTTTGTTACAAATATCAAAAGGAAAGATTTTGCCAATATGACCAGCTTGGTGGACCTGACTCTATCCAGGAATACAATAAGTTTTATTACACCTCACGCTTTTGCTGACCTTCGAAATTTGAGGGCTTTGCATTTGAATAGCAACAGGTTGACTAAGATTACAAATGACATGTTCAGTGGGCTTTCCAATCTCCATCATTTGATATTAAACAACAATCAGCTGACTTTAATTTCTTCGACGGCATTCGATGACGTCTTTGCCCTAGAGGAGCTGGATCTGTCCTATAATAATCTAGAAACGATTCCTTGGGATGCTGTGGAGAAGATGGTTAGCTTGCACACTCTTAGTTTGGATCACAATATGATTGACAACATTCCTAAGGGGACTTTCTCCCACTTGCACAAGATGACTCGGCTAGATGTAACATCAAATAAATTGCAGAAGCTACCACCTGATCCTCTCTTCCAGCGAGCTCAGGTACTAGCAACCTCAGGAATCATAAGCCCATCTACTTTTGCATTAAGTTTTGGTGGAAACCCCCTGCATTGCAATTGTGAATTGTTATGGTTGAGGCGTCTGTCCAGAGAAGATGACCTAGAGACTTGTGCTTCTCCTGCACTTCTAACTGGCCGCTATTTCTGGTCAATTCCCGAGGAAGAGTTTTTGTGTGAGCCACCCCTCATCACTCGTCACACACATGAGATGAGAGTCCTGGAGGGTCAAAGAGCAACCCTGAGGTGTAAAGCTAGGGGGGACCCTGAACCTGCAATTCATTGGATTTCTCCTGAAGGGAAGCTTATTTCAAATGCAACAAGATCTCTGGTATATGATAATGGAACTCTTGACATTCTCATAACGACTGTAAAGGATACAGGTGCTTTTACCTGCATTGCTTCCAATCCCGCTGGGGAAGCAACACAATCAGTGGATTTACATATAATTAAACTCCCTCACTTACTAAATAGTACAAACCATATTCATGAGCCTGATCCTGGTTCTTCAGATATTTCAACTTCTACTAAGTCAGGTTCTAATGCAAGCAGTAGTAATGGTGATACTAAAATGAGTCAAGATAAAATTGTGGTGGCAGAAGCAACTTCATCAACAGCACTATTAAAATTTAATTTTCAAAGAAATATCCCTGGAATACGTATGTTTCAAATCCAGTACAATGGTACTTATGATGACACCCTTGTTTACAGGTAAGAAAAACTAATCAAATTTATAGGCTTCTATGCATCCTAGTGTAGGGCCTATTCATTTAAGTTGTTTTCATTGGAGGTTCTACTCTGTGTTGTACTACAGTACTTCATTTTTAAAAGTGTAGTAGGTAAAGCTTGTAAAAGGTGTTGAGTACATGTGGGGAGATGTTTTGAAAAGTGTTATTTTTAGAGAGTTCAAATATATATTTAATATTATGCTTACTTTTTTCACCTCATCTAAGAGATGTGACTATCAGAGAACAAGATTGATATATTTTAAAAATTCAAAAACATACCAGAATTTACACATCCACCTGAGTGTTCTTTCCTTCAAGGAAGTCACGTTGGGAGGCTATACCATTATCCCAATGATGCTGCCATTGCTCAAAGCACTTTTGGAATTATCTTTAGAACCTTCGTCATACTATTTTGAACATCCTCACTTGTGGCAAATCTTCGTCTTTTGAGGGTGAATTTGAATTTTGGAAACAAGCAAAAGCCATTTGGAGTCAAGTCTTATGAATAAGGTGGGTGATCAAGATGGGTATTGCCATTTTTGGTCAAAAATAGGATGTAACTATAAAATAATGAGACTGATTTTTTGAGTAACTGAGTTGCATGTGTATGTGTTGTCTCATGTGCACTGGTTCTTAAGACAGTTCCAAAGAGATATGTTATAAATATTTTGAGCAGTGAAAGTATCACTGGAGTTAAGTATGTAATCCCCAGGTAAGGATAAGAATTTGCATCTGCTAAAGAATTTCTGGTATGTTTTTCTAAAGTTCAGCCTCATTGATTTATAGTCACATCTTGTCCAATTATCAGTGGGAAATACACATTTTTACCCTTTCATATAATTTCACTCGTAATAGACAATTATTATTCCTAGGAAATGACGCAAAATTCTGGCTTTGAAATGACTTTTTGTCTTCAAGCTTTTCACATATTAAATCTGCTCATTTCTTAAATACTCAGGTGACTTCTTGAAAATAATTTGCTTTTTACTCAGGTGTGGAAGGGAAAGTAATTTGAAAAAAAAAATAAGCATGAGCTAGTAGGAAAAAAATATCAAACTTTTCTAGGTAGTTAGATGATCAATCCTGGGCAAGGTTCTACCTGGATGAGTTTTAATATCCTCATCTTTAAAGGGAAGAGATTAGACTAAATGTTCTTTAATACCCCTCTCATCACTAAATGTTTAGGGAGATAGGCTCTGATACATGTATATTAGCATAAAGCAGTTTGCTCTGATTATACCAGACTCCTATCCTAGCCTGTGGGCTACTTCGCTAGTTGTCAATATCAAGTACTCACCCTTCCCCTTCCCCTTTCTGTAGCTGGTGAGCATTCTGTATACTGTAGGCATTACCTCTCCAAAATAAATCATACTTAATTTTCTCAGTACTAAGATTTTAGTCAAATAATGATGAATAAATTTTGTATATTGAAAAAAAATTCCTTGACTGTCTGATCCTAAGGTCTGCTATCTATGACATAGTGTAAATTCTTATCACATTAAGTCATTGGAGAGGTTAGCTCTAAATGTATATGAAGTTCTCAGTAACGTCTGATATATATCCTGTACTCGCAAGAGGAAGGTATTTTTAGTCACAAATACTTGCTTTTGCCTGAAAATTCCCTGATGCTTTAGAACATATTGTTTTAGCATCAAAACCAGATCAGTATTGTCAAACTGATCCACTTGCAAATCTCCAAACCTCACTTTCAGGGAAAAATATGATTTCAGGCCTTTTTTCCAAATTCATTTTAGATTAGTTCATATTTGGTTGCAACTGTCTAGAAATTTATTTTAAAATAAGCTCCCACCGAAAGACTTTCACAAGGTACTTGATTCATAGGTGTTTATGAACTCTTGTCAGACTTTAGAAAATGTACTCTCATAGAAATTTTCATCAGTGTGCAATAGAACAAGGGATTTATGTTCTAGTCAACATCCTTGCCTTTTTCATGTTTGCAGGATAATTGTATTCATACATTTTCATCACTTTCATTTATAGATAAAAACATGCTAGGAAACAAGTGTTGAAGGAATAAGAAAGGGATGAGATCTGTAAATAAGATACTTTAATCTTAGTTACTATGTTTTTTGTTAAAGATAACGTCAATGGGTACCATAGCATAGCAGCTTACTAGTGGTTTGGAAAATAAATCCTCTGAAATGCATTTGCATTCTGGTTTCTAATGTGATTGTCAGTGTTTTCCCTTCCTTCAAATTGGCTTTTAGTCACAGAGGTGTTGTAAGTGCTAAATGGATTTGTTTAGTAGTCAGATAATGTCACAGTCACACCTTTCAAAAGCAATTTGTCATAAATGATTTTTTAGCAGTGCCTTTTATTAGGAGTTCTGCTTTGCCAAGCAATGTAATTAGTAAGCTTGTCAAGGCATGGTGCAGGCACCATTAATATAATGCAGACGCCAACAATGACTTTCAACCATTTCAACTGGGTAAATATAAGATTAGATCATTTTCCCATATTTCATATCTGTTATAAATGTTCTTATCTTAATGAGTACTGAAATGAGACAGTTCTAAAGTCATAATGACTTTGTGTGTGTATTTTTTTTCTTTTGTTTTTAATATTAATTCAAATTCTATTGTCCTTCAGAATGATACCTCCTACGAGCAAAACTTTTCTGGTCAATAATCTGGCTGCTGGAACTATGTATGACTTGTGTGTCTTGGCCATATATGACGATGGCATCACTTCCCTCACTGCCACAAGAGTCGTGGGTTGCATCCAGTTTACCACGGAACAGGATTATGTGCGTTGCCATTTCATGCAGTCCCAGTTTTTGGGAGGCACCATGATTATTATTATTGGTGGAATAATTGTAGCATCTGTGCTGGTTTTCATCATCATTCTAATGATCCGATACAAGGTTTGTAATAATGGGCAACATAAAGTCACCAAGGTTAGCAATGTTTATTCTCAAACTAATGGGGCTCAAATACAAGGCTGCAGTGTAGCACTGCCCCAGTCCATGTCCAAGCAAGCCGTGGGACATGAAGACAATACTCAGTGTTGTAAAGTTGCCAATGACAGTGTGATTCAATCTTCAGAGACTTGCTCGAGTCAGGACTCCTCTACCACTACCTCTGCTTTGCCTCCTACCTGGACTCCAAGCACATCTGTGTCCCAAAAGCAGAAAAGAAAGACTGGCACAAAGCCAAGTACGGAACCACAGAATGAAGCTGTCACAAACGTTGAGTCCCAAAACACTAACAGGAACAACTCAACTGCATTGCAGTTAGCTAGCCGACCTCCGGATTCTGGCACAGAGGGGCCCGCGTCTAAAAGAGCACACACAAAGCCAAGTAAGTTTTTCACTTTGCCTGCTGCGAGATCCAGAGCAAGGCAAAGGTACTCCCTGAATGGAGAATTAAAGGAATGCTATTGTTATATTAACTCACTGAACACATATGGACAGTTTGCTAAAAGAAGCATGTCTATGAATGGGATGTTAAATCAGTGTGGCAGTTCTGATGGTCATAGTGGAAAAGCAGCTCTCTAAGATTCTGAGTGGATATTGGAAAGCTCGGTGTAATCTGTTTCTTTTTAAAGAAAACTCATTTTCTGAATTCACATAAGAAATTGGAATTTGGAATTCCAGTCCTGTCTCTCTGATGCATGATTCGAAGTGTTGAGGTTGTATGTACACCCTCTAGAGCATGGTCCTTTTATATGTATTAAATAAAAGTAACATAGAAAGAATGATTAGGGAAAAAAGCAGGACACAGCAGCAGTGCCTTCCTTTATTCTAGGGCCAGTCTCCAGGTTTTGCAATAGCAGATCACAAAATGAAAGTTGTCATGGGGAAAAGAATCTTGCATAAAAAATAACATTTACTTAACTTTTAAAGGGTCACCCATGAATGATTGGTATTTCTCAATGAGTAGACTATATTTTTCCTTTTCATTACAGTGATGTTGGTATTGTTTTGAGGAAAATGATGTGGAGAACAGTTGTGTTAATATTTATTTAAAATAAAACACTGAATTAGTTTGCCCAACAATAACTACCATCTTAACTGCATTCTTTGTATAGGTGCCTTCATGATTCTAACTTATTTGTCTCCCATGATGGGGCTTTTGAAATAGAAAAAAAGGAAAATATTGCTTATTTTACTTTTATCATTTAATCCAATCAGTTTTGAGTCATTTGTCATGATTTCATGTGTATCTACTTGAGCATATGGAGATGTTTTCATTCATTCACTATCCATTTGTTGAATGAATGAGGTTTTTCATTGCTCTTAATGAAAGTTAAAGACATAGAAACAAATAAGACTATCAGAAGGATATTTATTTTGGTCAACAAATGAAATAAAAAAAACTTTTAATATAATTCTTATTTCATTTATAAGCAATAGAAAATCCTTGCTCATTAATCAATGACTTTTCCTATTTGCTATCTATAAGTCTAATGCTTCTTTATTTTTTATTTTAGAGATTTACTTATTTATTCAAATGACAGAATTACAGATGAGAGAGAGAGAGAGAGAGAGAGAGAGAGGGAGAGTGAGTGACAGAATCAATCTTCTGGTTCACTCCCCAAATGGCCAGGCAGGTCTGGGCAAGACCGAAGCCAGAAGCAAGGAGCTCCATCCAGGTCTCCCATGTGGATACAGGGGCCCAGGGAGTTGGGCCATCTTCTGCTGCTTTTAGGTGTATTAGCAGGGAGCTGGATAGGAAGCGGAGCAGCCAGGTCTCAAACTGGCACCAATATGGAATGCTGGGGCTACAGATGGAGGCTTTACCAACTATGCCACAGCGCAGGCCCCAATGCTTCTTTCTTTCTATATTTTTCTTTTTAAAAATTACTTATTTGAAAGTCAAAGTTACAGAGAGGCAGAGGCAGAGGCAGAGAGAAAGAGCTCTTCCATCTGCTGGTTCACTCCCCAGATGGCTGCAATGGCCAGAGCTGTGCCTTCCCAAAGCTAGGAGCCAGGAGTTTCTTCCAGGTCTCCCATGTGGGTGCAGGGGTCCAAGGACTTGGGCCATCTTGTATTGCTTTCCCAGGCCATAGCAGAGAGCTGGATCAGAAGGGGAGCACCAGGACTCCAACCGGCGCCCATATGGGACGCCGGCACTGCAGGCTGTGGCTTTACCCACTACGCCACAGCATCGGCCCCTCTTCTTTCTTAAAGTATAATCATTTGATATTTTAACAAGCATCTGTAGTAAATTTAATTAGAACTCATGCAGCTTAGAGGGAATACACTATGCCAAAATTTAAATTTAGTTATAAAATATCATTGTTCCTTAAAAATATGTAATGTATGAATATTCATGGTATCAATATTTATAGATAAGTATTCCTATCTACTTATTGAAAAAGTATTCCTATCTACAAATGTGTTTATTTGATGGTGTTTTATTAAAGTTCCATGAATGTGATTAATTTTTTTAGAATAAGGCTCATATAAGAAATTGGACCTGTTACCTTGCACACACACACAAAAAATTACGTGTTTGCCATAACATAATAGTAGACATTTACATATGTAAAATACTCCCTCAGAGTCAGTTAAGCAAAGTAAGATTATTAACTCAGATCACTTGAAACACTAAACACACAGGTGAGGAATATTGAATCATTAGTTTAAACTTGCTCTGCAAACATTGCAGTTCATTTTAACTTGCTGGAGGTATGCTTTATAATACATAGTTTGTCATGGTTTCATTAAGTGGGAAGTAAGATTAGAACATTTAGAGATTATTTTCAGTCTCTTTTTTGAAAAAAATTATCTAATGTACTTTATCTTAGGCACTTTCTAAATAGCATCTCTTCTTTGTCTCTCTTTCCCATTTGAAAAGTGTAAGTACCCTTCATTGTTCTGGCATATAGTTCTTGGGAGAAGTAAATGAGGTGTTATGCATGGTAGTAATTTATGAAATAAAAAAACACTACTGAAGTATATCCTCAATACTATTACTATAACAATGTTATAATTGCACTAATAATTTAAATTTTAAAATATTTTAATTAACATTATTTATATAATTTCTCAGATGGTCCTAAATTACTAAGGATTCCCAGGTTTACAGAATTGAATCCAAAAGAAAGAATTTCTGGAATTACATTCAATGATAAAGAGAGCCTGAAATCATGTAAACTCCTTAGAAATTTGGCACATCTTCTCCAAGTTACTAAGGAATTTATTTTTTATCTCCCAGTGGCCTGAATTTTTAAAAGTCAACTTCTTGTTCACATTTCGAATGAAAATTTGATTGAATGTCTTTTTATTTCTCATAGATATTTCAGACTCTATGATATTTAATTACGTAAAATTTATTTTGTTTTGCTAAGACATGGACAGTATTTAATATTTTTATTCCTCTTTTCATGTCAATTTTAGGGTATATTAACCAAATGCCCAAACACTTGTTCTTTAAAGTGTACTTCTGGCCTATGTTCCTGTCTTTCAAAAAGTGCATATTGGCCTATCAAGAAAGCCAAGTGGTTTTTTATATTTATTTATAAGTATTTTGAGAAAATTTTTATTAAGGCAGTTTCATTGTGAAGTGATTGAAAAATAACTATGGGGAAGTTATGGAGATACTTAAAACTACCCGTTGAAATGTCAGAAGAGTTGCCTGGATTGATGAATGAAATGTGATTAGATAAATGAATGAGACCAGTGAGGAAGTTATAGTAATAAGAATTTGATTCATTAGTACAAGGGGCATTTGTGATACAGATGTTATATTTCCTTAAGCAAGAAAGTCTCTATCTTTTCTTGGTTTTCTTCTGTCATTTATTGCATTTCTCATTGAAAGAGTCATACTTATGTGATTGGAAACATGCTTAGCTCTGTGTTGTGTACCATAGATAATTTTTACTTCATATTTTTAATTATTATCTTTTCTTCTTAGCTTTTTTACTTATGATATCAGATTGTTGAATGTGAAAAACAACATAAAATACTGTTTGCTATTAAGCACATCTTTATAGGTGCTTACTGCAAACATTTTTAAGAATAATGTATGGTCTGTTATTGTTTTTATTCCTTTTGAATAATTGTGCCCCAATTTGAAAATATCAAGCTAGTGTTAGCAGTACCAAAGCTGCCTTAAAATTCTAAAAAGCAGCAAATCTGGTTGATTAATGTGATTTTTTTTAAAATTTTCAAGTAGATGTAGATAAAATACAATATAAATACATACATATAGATTAAGTGCAACATAAGATTAAATACAGATTGAATATAATAATCTAAATTAGGAATAATGACACAGTGTGGCCAGTTTATTTCCAATATTTTTTCAACAACCAGTGAGACATTTGAGTTCTTAGTAAGTATGTTTAAAACCTGATTGTACATGTTTTTAGATATATGCTCCAAAAAAGTCTTAACATATAGAGTTTTCAGCCATTTTAAGCAATTTGTTAATATAGCAAGTATACTCTTTGAAAGATACAAACTTTCTCAATTAATATTTAAGGAATTTTTGAGAAAATTAATTCTGCTGCATTTGTCTACAGGAATCTCCTTTTCCTTTTTTTCTGTGACTGATTTTCTCTTTAACTTAAAAAAAGTCAAAAATACTTACTTTCAAAATGAATTTTAAATATTTCATTGTATTTCTTAATAATATTCTCATAAAATTTGAGAGTAATTATAACAAAATAACATCAGTTACCTTTCAGTATTTTTCCATTTATTCAGAACGATAAATATAGAATATTTAAAATGCTAATGTCCAAAATTATCCACAAATTTAAAACATCTTTTGTTACAGAATTGTGAACATATGAAAATACATGAGATATTTCTTCAAAATGGCAGCAGATATAAGCCTATTGTCTTCTCTGCATGGTTCACTTCAAATGGCATTTTTTCATCACATAGACCATCATTATATACAATTTCATATGTCAGGTTTCTAGAAATAAAAACAAATTACAGAAGAAATTAAAAAAATAAATTTGCACTTTATAAAGCTGAGAACACAATGTTCATTCTTATTTGACAGAATGAAGAGTATCTAGTATCTTCCCATTGCTTAGCCTTTCCCTATGTGTCAAGAACAATTCAGTGTTTCTACCTTCACAGTGTTTGCTTCTTTATGAGTGGCGATTTTTGGGGGAAAACACTTAAGCATAGAGCTGTAAAGATGGGGAAAGGATGTGTTTTTTATCTTCCTAAGTTGCTAAGAATATTAATATACTTTATAAAGTTATCGACATTAGATTAAATTCATGGGTAAGAAATAGTTTAAAAATTGAGTAGAGGAAAAAGGAAAACAAAAAATTGGATTTTGATCATTGTTTTCAAACTCTATCATATTATGCAATACTTCCCTTTCTATGCCAGATTTTATATACACACACACATATAATGATTAGAAATATAATAATTTTGCCTATTTTATTTGTTACTTTTACCAACAGCAACAATCATTCTTGTAGCACTACAAAAGAACATTTAAAAAGCCTGGTAAACATATTACTCTGATTGAACTATCCTAAAAATGTGTTATGTAAAGTGGGACATGGAAAGTAACAATTTATAACCTGGAGTATATTTAACTATTAAAATACATTACTAAGGTAATGCGGTTGCAATGTTATAAAATTTTATATTTACTATAACGAAGCAAATGTGTACCATTGTTTCCTATTATGTTCAGTTATTTCAAGGTGAAAATTTAGGATGTAAAGTTAATGTTGAATACATACATACATTGTAAGTATCCTTATGTATACACATTGTTATATAAATATGAATATTGCACTAAATAGATATAAAACTATCTATACTTATAAAATAATCAACTAAAATCATAATTATCTGTCTTGTAATACAGACTAGTATTTTACAGTTAATGTTACAAAATTGCTCTTAGATAACTTCCCATAAAAACTGTATGAACCATCATTGTTGTTTATGAGGTAACAGTGGAATGTAAGCTCTCTAATACAAATTTATTTTTTTAATTTCCTAATGATATCTATGTCTACCAGTTTCATCCAGATGTTTCAAATTGGTGAATGTAGTATTGGTTAATATTGAAAACAAACCTACGAAAATTCAAATACATTCAGGAGAAAGCCATTAAATCCCCTTCATTTAAAGTACTTGTATTTGTGTGTAGCTGTCCACTTAATTTTAACTGACACATGGGCCTTGTAGATTCCACGCTTCTGCTATAGGATATTCACAATAAATAATTATTATAGTAAAACCAAGGAGTGTCTGAAGAACACTATGTTGACTCTGTGATACCCCAATTATTATTCTCTATAATGTGAATTTTTCTTACATCCAATTTCAAGTAAAACCTAAACTCCAGAAGCCATTGAAAATTTACCTGAATATTTATGCTGGAGGTTTGTGAAAAATATTTTTTCCTAGTCTTATCACACTCATCTATGAACACTGAGAAAGATTTTTCCCTTGGTCACCTACTTTCTCTTATCACTGTGATTCTTCTAAATGATGAGGTGCATGTATTAAGAAAAATACTTTTTTCTAAGAAATAGAATGTGCTCTATGAAATCTTACATGACAGTATTAAATGTGTATTATCGGTATGAACATATATATGGACATTTAATGGCAGAATGTTTGCTTTTAAAACATTACCGTTTTACATAAAGATAAATGGGTACTGAGTAAAACATGCTACTATTTAGGCAGTAGGTATTAAATGATGGTTAATAATATAATATATTATTTTATACTCCTTGTGGTTAATATGGTAAGCCTGTTTCCTGACTTTAGGTTCTTTACTTCTTCTTGTATTTTCCATATTAGTCATAGGAAACTATCTAGCTGAAATGTGAACTGTACACAGGGAATTGAATAGAATCCAAATTTTTTTATTGATCTTTGGCAAGGAAAGGAAATTCCATTTTAAGTATTACTCATTTTAGTTACTAGGTCAATATTTTTTTAAATTCTACTTTCACAATATTTATATCAGGAAGCAGATATAGAGAAGTATTAATTAGTATTTGTCTGTTGCAGTTAATGCCCAAACTGGTAAGTTAAAAAGAAAAGTTTAGATGAATGATTGTTAAGAAAACTTTTACCAAGATTTCAGTGAAAAGCTCTTATGGTCTGTTTCTTTTAAAAATGAACTGTTCATGACACTGAAAATTTTATTCCCAGATGCTTTGCCGACTACTGTTGACCAGATGGTCCAGGAGACACAGGTGAGCTTCCTGTTACCACCCACATGCTTCAACACTGAAGTGGGTTCATTCATTTATAAATTACTTCTTTATTTTTATTTACTACTTGGTATAACTTGTTAAATTTTCCCATTAAATCTTAGAATGCTTGCTTGTTCAAACTGATGTAATTAAGCCAACTTTTATTTTTAAAATGTTATTACTATAAAGAGAACAAATTTGATGTATTTCATACATATTACTCTACGATAACCATGCTTCTCTCTTTCTTTCCCGCCTCAGTTCCCCTCCTTCCTTATTTCCTTTTTCCTTTAATTTTTGCAAAAACATAATTTCAGTCCACTATAATCACAGACTTACTGTCCACTAATGATGATATACAACAAGTACAAAGTAGAAAGACTACAGTTGCACAGAAGTATAAACAAGATCTAAAAGCAACAACTGAATCATAAGATGTCCGTTAAGCGATTTTTCTGATTCCTAAATTTAGACACCTTACTGGTTTACAGATCATTTCTGAGTCATACTGTTAGAAATGAAGGTAGCAGTAAGAGTGGTACCTAAGACATGAGAGCTACTCTGGTGGTCATGCACAATGTAATGTGCATTGTTGTAAATATTCGCTAATGTGAAGACAGTAACTTCTAAAGAATGTACTCACTCCTCTTGTTGACCTCCACATCCTAATAGGAGCTGAGATGATACATTATGTCTCATTGAAAACGTTGAACAGAAGTGTTTCAGTCTTATCTAAAATGAATGAAGCCACTTTAAAATGGAACAAAAGACTGCATATGAAATATTCATAATATTTTTGTCAGCAACCAATTACTCTTCTTGAGTAGTTTTTTTTTTTTTTTGAAATTTCAAATGAGTTTTTGATTCCTGCATTTTAATTGGATCAGAAGTGTGTTTCCAGAGCAGAATAGCACTTAAGCAATCTGTTCAAACAGCTGGAAGCATCAGCCATTTGCTTGAGGTTTGGCACAGAAAAAAATATTCTGCTTTAAAACTTCTAAAAGAGGCAATTGATTTATTTGTTGGTAGTAAAAATAGGGATTTGTGTTTTTTAATATTTAATTTTTAAAACAATAGTAATTCGGTCAACCTTTCAGAATTTTCTCTAATGAATTCCATCTCAAATCAAACAAATTTTTTTCATGCTTTACTCCTTTCCTGAATTTAGGATCCCATTGTTATGATGCAAAAAACAGATGGCTCACGTAAACAATCACTAACACAATGTCTGACACATGCACTGTGCTCTGTTGTGTGTACTGAATTGACCTGCATGAAGGTGCCTTGTTTCGCCAGTAACCCCTTCATTCTATCTTAACTTCTCCCTCTTCTACTCCCTCTTCTTTCTTTTCTCTTCTCTTTCCACTTTCCCCACCTCCCACCTTCCTTCTTCTCTATCTCTCTCTGTCATTTGCCTCTCTCTACGTATCTCATTTTTATCATTCATCATGTGATTTTGAACATTCCATTGAGCTGAAAGTTAGGATGCCTTTAGGAAGGGTTTAGGAAAACAAAGAAAATCTGTAAGAAGCATAATCCAGAATACTGGTAAACATATTAAAATTGAAAATAGGAAATTCAACCACTGTGTCATTTTTTAATTACCATTTAAAAATTTCCTAAATATGCAAATTTTGTGGGACAAGATATAATTTACTTATTTTATCACATTATTGGAAGTAGAACTTTGAAGAAAGCAATATTTTGAAAGTCTCTATACTGCCATGGATAATGCATATTGCAAATGTATGATAAATACAAACTAGTCTAATAATTTCTTTTTCATTCTGAAGTAATCAGTATTTGTCATAGAATATTTGGAAAATGCAGATTAAAAAAGAAATTCATCACAGTCTTACAACCAGATACAAATAATGATAACCTGTTGCATAGTATTTCAGTGATTAGCTTTTCAGTATGTTGTAAATTCATTTGTGTTTATTCTGCATTAGATTTGTGTAGTGTATATATATGTATATATACATATGTATACATGTATACATATATACATGACAAAATATGCCTTCTTTTTTAAGGTTTTATACTGAGATTACTTTTGTTCCCTTTTTAAAACTAATGAATGTCATGTCAACAAAATTCTTCCTTTCATACTTTGAATCAGTTTCTCTTCTTTTGGTAAACACCCGCAAGAAACCAAAATCCACAGAAAATAATTTTAATAAAATTTAGTGGCAATATATAATTCCCTCATTATCCAGCCCTTGCTATTTCTACTATCAGATTTAAGATACCATATGACCTCAGCATAACTACTCTTGCTTGATACTTAGTAAATGATTTCTGCTACAGCAGTCCTATCATTTTGATAATTGTCAATGGAACCTAACAGCAATATTCCTTCTGAAAAGGTTGTGGCCTATGTGCAATTAGTCTGCACACAGCCTTTTGCCTTCTCAGCTGTACCTTCCAGCATGGAATAAAGTGAGGAGAGAGCTGGCAGAAACCCATTGTGATTGCAACTTTTCTGTTTTGTGTTTCTGGAGCTACTCAAACTGATGTACTTGCTAAGGTGAATTTTTTTCCCAAGAGCATAGAATTAAAATAGTTATCTCATTTCTAATAGCCAAAGCATGCCATATGTTGATTTACTGCTTTAGGAGGCTTCCTGAATTTATCTATAGAATTAGGATGAGCTTGAAATAATTCAATGTGTCACAGCTATATCTTTTGTAACTAAATAATAAGATATATCAGACTGCAGTGAATCGAGAGTAAAGGGCTGAAGAATAATTGCCAAAACTAGTGGTAATTACAGGTCAACTGACACCTACCTATAAATTACAATTAAGGATAAGTTATTTATCCTTAAAATGAACTCAGGTAAACAATAGACACCATGTTTAGCAGGTGGGATAGAAACAGTTGATAAGTATACTGAAAATGATTTAACACAAATATAAGAAGCATTTGTGTAAAAAACACATAAAACATGTACACACCATCTGTGTATGTATGTGTGTAAGAAGAAATATGGCTCATTCTGCAATTGTTTCCCTTAGCCTGTGACATAATTGCTTCGTGAGTTTATTTAATTGGACTTGTGATTATTCTGCATACAATGTCAATCAGGGTAGTTTAAAAACAAATTTTATCATAAAATCTCTCTACAGATGCTCCAACCATTAAAGGCATATAGTTATTTTAGAAAAAAAACTACTAATGTATAAATGAATAAAAATCAGTGATGTTGATTATATACAAACAACATTTTAAAAACCACCAGAAAATATAGGGTTAGGAAAATATATGAAACAAGTCAAACAGCTAAACAAGAATTATATGACTATAATTTCCAGCACTTTTTCAATTGAGAATTACCAATATAAAAATTTTGATTCTGCAGGAGTTTTTCTTTGAAAATCCCCTTCAAGTAAATTTTTAAAAATGAAAATAACAGAATAGACATGATGTGGAATATATTTAGCTATTTTTATAATAATTAAGCACACTTTTGACATACTTAATTGTACAGTACCCTAAATCAGAAAAACAAAAGCCTAGTGTCAGCAATCATGTTGTTTAGACATACAGGCTATATAAATCATTATTTTTCATAGTTTTTAATTGTAACCATAATGAAGATAGTAGTAAGCACTGTCCCATACTCCATTCAATGTCAGAACATCGTCCCCTCTCTTAATGTTGAAATAGCTTGCATTTCCTCTTAACTTTTTAGTACTACTAAGATTGTTTCTTCACAATGTTTTGCATGATATGCCTTCACTGTTAAATGAAGATCATAATCATAACATTTTAAACCTACTCCAAGTTGATTATTTTTGGTTTTCATTTTGTGGTGCCCTTGTGACTTTATGTTCCATGTTTAGATCTTCTTGGGATTATTGTAAGAATTTGCCTACTGATGTTTAAGTTAAAAGGTGCTATTTTAAAGATCTGCCTGATATCAATTTTTATGGCTCTGATTTACATAATTATTTCAATAATAATTATAGAAGCCATTTCAGTGTAGAGGAGCTCCCAGGATAGTTCCAGAAGTTTTGCTACTTACTAATTGGAAATCAATGACATTTATATTGATCATAATTACATTATTTGTTAATAATGTTATTATGTAAGATGAAATTGAATAAAACCTTTTAAGATATATCAGCTTATAAAATCATTAACTTGATATTAAAGTAAAGTTAGATCCTGGAAGGATGTGTTAATTGCAGAATCAAACTAGTTAAATTTTCCACTCTTTATCTCTTCTGGGAATATTGAGAGTTTCTGTTGTTTTCCTCTTGTATTACTAATTACTGCACCTTAAAATGTAGTATACAACAATTATATATTTTTAATGAAAGCGAGTGTATAATGGAAAATAAAAGGAAAAAATTGATATCAAACTTAGCAACATGAATTATGCCATGAACCCAAAAAAGAATAATTTATTATTCTTTATAACTGTATTCCATTAGTTTTCAAAGCAATTGTGTTTGGTTTTGCTTTGTTTTACAAAGAGGATGTATATCAGACCCTTAACATCTTCCAATATTGCATAAATCCCATTTTAGTACTCAAAAATGATTGTGAAAACTCATATCCCTTATCATCAAATATTTTGAAATATTTTCTCACAGTATTCTTCACAATATTCATCCATTCATGTTACAGAAAGATATCCAAATAAATTCAATATACTTTAATAGTTATAAACCTATCCAAATATATTCTTTTTTTAGAAAACTTTTATTTAATAAATATAAATTTCAAAAGTATAACTTTTGGATTATAGCGGTTCTTCCCCCCATAACCACCCTCCTACCCACAAACCATCCCATCTCCTACTCCCTCTCCTATCCCATTCTTCATTAAGGTTCATTTTTAATTATCTTTATATACAGAAGATCAACTTAGTATATACTAAGTAAAGATTTCAACAGTTTGCACCCACACAGACAAGGTATAAAGTACTGTTTGAAGACTATTTTTACCATTAATTCTCATAGTACAACACATTAAGGACAGAAATCCTATCCAAATATATTCTACATCAACATTTTTATGCGAAATATTTAGTAAACTAAGTTATACCTCATGATTCACAGTTGCCATGCACTTTATCACCACCAATAGAAATATTGTAAAATGTTTCTGTTGTTTTCAATAGGAAGGAGAAAATGAATGTATATGAAGTTATATATTTCTCAAAAATATTTTCCACCTTCATGAAGCATTGAACATACAGAAATATCTTAAAATGATGAAGACTCAGAATCCATGGTAGAAGAAAATATTTTTATGCTTTTTCTTTCAAAATCATGTGCAAGATAACCATGGAGTACCTTTGCTTGAGAGTTTTTATAAGTTTCCACATTCTGATAGTCTTTGCTATCACTTAAACTACAAAATTTTTAAAAGTTTTGATATCATATGAAATTCCCAGGAGAATATAAAAAAGTGTAGAGGCCACTTAGGTTTTGGAAATGTTGAGCAACTTTTATCTGATATGTCCATATTTTAAACATCAATATGAATGCTGAATTTTTAAATGGCATATATTAATTAATAAAATGATTTTTTTTGTTTTACCTTACATTGAAAATATAAATGTGAAAACCAAAGTAAGGAACATGCTATTCTACCGTTTGATTTTGACTTACATAGGCTTCATATACTTAGATTGCTTTTAAAAATACTATTTCTTTAAATATTCACCATTGTGAAATTACTCAGCAACATTTTACATGTTGAAGTGCACGTGCAGTTATTTTTCAGGTCCAAATGGAGGGTGTCTTATATTTTATGGTAGGAAACTCCTGCCTGGGTGTTTATGGTTCAGTAAGCTAGGTCAACTGCATGACAATCTTACTAGCTATGTTTTCTTTTCTTTTCTTTCTTTTTTTTTTCTTTTTCTTTTCCTTTCGTTTCAGAGGCTGGAGTTAATCTGAAGAACACCATTTCTTCTCTCTCTCCTGAAAAAAGTTGCCACTGATATTTTTACTGGAAAATTAAAAAATGTTTCAGTTCACAAAAGCTAAATGTTGAACTGATGTCCTAAAAGAAATTGTCCACAGGAGCCGAGGTGGAAGTCTCTGATGCCTGCGGAACTGGCTCCATCAGACCATGGTTCATCCCCTTTGGAAACCAAACCAAATTTTTTTTTTCTTCTGGCCTACAAATATTTTTTTTTAAGATGGAAAGAAAAAAGCCTACATTGGCATCAGTTTCTGTATCAGTCCATCTTACATTGCCATCCATGATTTAACAGACTGTAGAATCTTGAATAATCTATATCACTTTAACAAATAAATGTTTTACTATGATCAAATTTGCACATTGCTTGATTTGTGGAAATACTTTCTCTTTTAAGTGTGAGTGGTGAAATGATGATTGCAAGAAGTAATAATACTCTTTTGAATTGAGCTAACGCAAAAACATTAAGGGGTCACAAATTGATTTGTATTACAGGAATTCTTTCTCCCATGAGTGAGGAGCACCCTCTTCCTTGGGAGAGCAGTTCAGTAACTTAAACAAATGCATGCCAACTGCATGTATCAGTGTAAGACGGGAGCTGAGAAAGCTTGTCATGCCCTAGTGGAACTTCACAAAGACCGAGGTAGGCATACTGTAATTAGTCCAAATCGATCCATTACTCTTTTAGAGTACAAAGAAAAGGGGATTCTACTAATTCAACACTACATTTTATTATAAGTGCCAATTTCTCCAACTCTGCCCAATTACAGGGTAAATAAAGAATGTGCATCTGATTTACACCATTATCATGACTGAGATTATCATGATGAGTAATAAATGTTAACACAGTCATATTTAAGCTGTATGCAAGCACTGACTTTTACGAGCTTGTCCTGGGTATGAAGCAAGCCTGAACAGGGGATTCGGACAGTTATTTATTCACTATAATCTCCTATAAGATAATATTAGTGTGAAATTTGAAAATGTCTGAAAATTATCTAAGTATTTCACATAAGAAACAAGCTCAATAAAAAAATACTTTGAGTAGCATTGTTTCTACCAATTGAATTCAAAATCTCTAAATTCATTGCCGGTTCTGGTAATAATTAGCAATCTAAAACAATAATTCAGAATATAAGAACTAGAATACTGTTTGCTTCTTGGACAAAAAAAGAGACTTGTTTATTTATTTGAAAGGTAGAGAGAGAGAGAGAGAGAGAGAGAGAGAGAGAATGAATGAATATCTTGCATGCACTGGTTCAATCTTCAAATGCCCACAATGACTGGGACTAGGCCAAGCTTAGCTCAGGAGCAAGGAACTCCATCCAGGTTTCTAATATGGTTGGCGGGAGCCCTAGTACTTGGGCCATCTTCTGATGCCTTCCCAGACCCATTAACAGGGAACTGGATTAGACTGGAGCAGTTGGGTCTGTAATCTGTGTTGTGATGAGTTCCAGTGTTGCAAGCAACAGCATAATCCCTGTGCCACAACACTGGTCCTAGAATACTGTTTGCCTTTTAGGGAATTTGGGTTAATCTGTTAAGCATGCTATATATCCTGAAGTATTGCAAGTACATAAGCCTCCAAGGAAAGATTGCACAAGTCAGTCAGGAGCAGAACTGTGCTCAGGAGCCTCACTCTCCCAGTCAGCAGTCCAAATATGTGCACATGCAAGCACACACTCTTCCAGACACACGCCGTGCATGATTGAAACCAAACTCACAGATTTTGATTGGACAATTCACCTGTCTCTTGACAACATGAAGGCACTGTAATAATTATGTTTCTGTGTATGTGTGTGTATATGTACACATAAATATTTATCATGATCAAAAGGAGACACATTGAATAAGCACTGCCTCTGTAAAACCCTTCCTAGTGCTTTTTTCCTCAAACACATGAATATCAGGAATGGAATAGTATTTCAGGGTCATGAAGAATGGAAAGTGTAATGTCTCTGATGTGAAAAATCTGTTCTTAGATGTGGTTATCTTATTTGTTTCTACATTCTCTCAACTTCTTTGGAACTGATTATTGCTTTTCTGATGGTGATGACAATGCGGTGTTCATGGCCTGAGCTATCACCTACTTTTGCACCTCTTTCAGATATTCCCACTTTTTTTTTTAATATCTTTTGAACCAAGGAACAGTATTTTGAATATGTTAGAACTAAAGTTAAACTCAATTACTTCCAGTACTCAAAATGAATTTCCTAAACATAAATCCAAAACTTCCATTTATGCTTGCATTCAATCATTGACCAGGCACTCATAGTCTATATATTTTCTTTGCTTGAGGTTGTTTATTAAGAAGAGTGGTACACAATCGGATTCCCAAGTTGTGAAATAGTAAAATATTTTTGTGGAATACTATTTACTACTTTTTCCAAGGAGATAAGAGAACATAGATGTACAGCCATAACCAAATAAGATTTGTAACTGTCTACAAATAAATATTCTATAAAAATAGCAAAATAATATTTTGAAGATATGAGGAGTCTATTTTAGGTGAACATATTATGATAAACAGGAATGATTTAATGTATAGAGTCAAGTCTCAAAGGTAAGGGTAATGGACGTTGACTGGGAAATATTTCTATTTATCCTGTAACTCTACACTGAGCAATGTAGAAGTAATTACCTGTCAAAACTGTTAGTAGGCATACATATAGCTCAATTTATGTCATACCTTATAATGCATTATAAAACATACCAAGCACATATATAAGAAACTCAAATAAAACTGTCTTATGTGAAAGTAGACTGAGAACTCTAATTCATATTTAGAGAATCTACAATCATGATTTTTTAAATTGATAATGATTTGTACAATTGCAGACTGGTAATAAATGGTGGTATTGATTAAAAGAGTAATTTTCACATTGAAATAAAGCTCAAATAATTTTACCTTTGCATTTTATTCATAATTTGGTAGCTCTCATATTCATTTTTGCATAAGTTTTAATTGTTACTTAAAACATATAGAGTTCTATTATATATATATATATATATATATATATAGACACATATGGAATATTTTATAGAACACTTTTGGCCTGCTTTTACAAAAAATACATTTATGAACTCAGATGATTTCTTTTTTTATTCTTTTTTGTTTGCTCTAAGATCTTAGTCAACTTTTATTCATTTATTCATATTTTTCTTTCCAAAATATATTTATACTGACATTTCATAGGTCTACTAATTATTCTGTGTGTGCATGTGCATATAAAGGCATATGCAATTATTTTAAAATGCAAATGATGCAAGTGTAACAGAATTTTATGTTTTAACCATTTTAAATGTAAAAAGTAATGCGTTTTATTATGTTCACAATATTGTCCAATCACCACTCAGATTCTTAAAACTTTAAAAGTAACTATTTTAGAAATTTTATCACTCCGAATATAAAGTCCATACCTATGTAATAACAACATTAATCACATACATCTCCAGCCCATAAAAACTTCCTCTCCTCCTCCTCCCCTTCTTATTTATTTTTATTTAAAAGACAGAGACACAGGTATCTTCCACCTCTTGTTCAATCTCCAAATGCCGGCACAGTTGGGGCAGGGATCAGGCCAGGGCCAGGAGCCAGGAACTCGGTGCAGGTCTGCATCCCATGTGGGTGGCAGGGAGTACTTAGACCATTATCCTCTGCCTCCCAGCGTGCATGTCAGCAAGGAGCCGGATCAGAAGCAGAGCTGAGACTCAAACCCAGGCAGTCCGCTATGGGATACTCATGGTGTCTTAACTGCGGCGCCAAACGCCCTCCGCAGTCTACTTTCCAGGGTGGCTTGCAACAACTCCTGCCACCCCCCTTCCCAGGGGACCTCCCCCGGAGGGGTGCTCTGCCCACGTGGCTGGTACGCGAGAGCCCAGCCTGCCCTCACACTTGACGTAGGGGCAGCTGGGCGAAAGGGGATGGGTGTTGGCCAACTCCGCCGGCCTTAACAGACCAGAGCTGTGTGGGCAGAAGCAGGTGCCGCCGAGGCTGAGCCACTAAGATTGAGGGGGAAGCACAGTGGGTCCCGGGGGAGGCCGGCGCTGAGGCGAGCGCCGGCCCCCGGGCTGCTGGGCGTCAAGCGCGGGTCCTTGTGGCAGTGGACGGCTCCGGGCTAGGCCGGAAGGCCTGGCCAGCCAGGGGGACGGCCCCTCAGGCTTAGTCCTCTCCAGTGTTTCTTCTGCCGGCTCGCAGGGCACTCAGCTCGGGGGGCTGCATGTGAAACGGGGGGCATGTTTTGACCCGGGCCCGGGGGGCTTGTGGAGAGACTCCCGGAAGTCAGCCTCGGGCCATGGTGCCCCTTGTGAAGGGCTGAGCTGAGCGCAGGTAGGCCTCTCATAGCCTGACGCCCCCGAGAGTCAGGGGGCCCTGCCGCTTCCTTGTGGCGCACCTTTGGTCCTGCCTTACCCCCCACCCCACCCCCAGAGGCAGCTGCGCTCTGGGGCCCCGGGCCAGCTTCACTGGGCCCAGAGGGACAGCGGACAGCAGGGCCGCGAAGCTGATTATACGTACTAGAACATTTCCAAAGTTGGGCCGCCCTTAACCTGCCTCAGGACTCTGTATTTGAAAAATATTGCATCACCTATTTGTACCACATGCATGTTTCGTGTTCCTTCCATCTTCTGTCCACTGAATAACGCTGCAGTGAATATTGATGCACAGGTGTGTTGGACTCTTGGTTTTCAGTTCTTCAAGGAATTGACTTAGGAGTGGAATTGCTAAGTCTCTTGATGTTATTGTTTTGAAGTTTTGTTGAGCTTTTGGGGAGCTGCCAACTATTTTGCCATCATAGCTACAGCATTTTACATTTCCTGAAGTAATATGTGATGGTGTTAGTGTTGTAGTTTCTTAACATTTTTAATTTTCAAGTTTTTAGTATCGTGGTAGATGTGAAATATCTCAGTTGACTGGGATTTGCATTTTCTTAATGACAATGATGTTTGGTGTTATGTGCTATTATTTTATTCTTTTTTTTGGAGAAGTATCTGCTCAAATTTTTGTGCTTTCTGCAATTGACTTGTGTTGTTTAGTTGTAGCTTTTAATATTTTTGGATATTAATCTTTGTCATTTATATTATTTCAAAATAGTTCCCCTATTTTATGGATTGTATTTTCACTTTATTGAGAAGTTTTGAAAGCTTGTGGCTTGATAATTTATTTTTTATTTGTTGTTTGCATTGTTACTAGCATAATTAAACACTCTATGGCCAATCCAAGGTCCTGTTTTCCTCTAAGAGTTCTATGATTTTAGTTCTTGTTTTCAGCTGGGTGATATGTTTCTGGTAATCTTTGTGTATGGGGAGACTTCCAATCTTTTACTTTCAGAGGTGGAAATCCAGTTGTCCAGCACCATCTACTGAAGAGACTATTTTTCCACACTAATGAACTCAATAGTCTTGTCAAAATTCAGTTGACCTGGGAGAAGGCAGTTTGCCTATTGGTTGAAATTGCTTCATTTCACATAAGAGTACCTGAATTTGATTATATATTACAGCTTCTGACTCTAGGATTCTGCCAATGCAGGCGTTGGGAGGCTGCAGTGATGTCTCAAGTAATTGAGTTCTTTCTACCCAGCTGGAAAATCTGATTGCATTTGCAGTTCTTGGCTTTGCCCTTGTCCAGCTCTGGCTTGTGCAAACATTTGAGGAGTGAATCTGCAGATGAGCACTCAGTCTATATATCTATTTTTCTCTCTATCTCTTTACCTCTCTTTCTCTACCTCAAAAATAAATAGTTTAACATAAAAAATAATCAGCTCTACATACACATATGAAATTATTTCTTAGATGTCTATATCACTACACTGGTCTACATGTTTGCCTTTTTGTCAGTACTACAGTACTTTGATTATTGTAGCTATGCAAGTCTGAAACTTGGAAATATGAGTTTGCCAACTTTTTTCTTCTGTCTCAAGATTACCTAGGCTAATCAGAACCCCATAGAATTCCACATTAATTTGAAATTGGGATTTTCCATTTTTGCAAAAGTTGCTGTTGAGATTTTGGTAGGGATTACATCAAACCTGAAGATTAGTTTGGGTAGTATTGATATAATAACAATATTAAGATTTCTAACCCATGAAATGTGATACCTTTCTATTTATTTGTGATTTCTTTAACTTCTTTCAGCACTGTTTTCCTGCTATTTAGAAACACAGATGCTTCTGTATGTTTATTTTGCAACCAGCAACTTGATTGAATTTGTTTATTAACTGTAGTAGCTCTCTAGTGGATTATTTGAAAGTTTCTCAAAATGAGATCATGTCATTTATGAATAGAGGTAGTTTACTTCTTCATTTACATTTTGAATGCCTCTTATTTCTTTTCTGATGTAATTCTCTGTCTATAAATTCCAGAAGAATATTAAGTAGCAGTGGTCAAAATATTCATCTTGTCTTGCTTTTGATGTTAGAGAAAAGTGTTCACTGTTTTGTTGTAAATATGATTTAAAGTGTGGCTTTTTCACAGTTGGCCTTAATCATGTTAAGGAAGTTCCATGTTGTCCCCAGATTCTTGGTGTATTATATCGTGAAAGATATTTTTATCAATCAACCATTTGTTTTCAACTGAAATTATCATATATGCTTCTTCCCCCTCCCTATTTTGTTAATGTGTCAAATTGCATTGATTGATTTTCTTAATCTGTATTCAACATAATATTCCTGGGACACATCCCTCTTTTCAAAATGCTGTTGCATTTATTTTGCTAGTGTTTGTTTTATGCCTATCTATCCATATCTCTATTTATCTATCTACCTAACTTTCTATCTACTTGTCTATCTAGAGAATATTGGTGTGTAGTCTTATTTCCTTTGGTAGAAAGACAATAATGAACTCATGGAATAAGAAGTGTTTTGACTTTTAACCACTTTTTCTGTTGTTTGGAGGAGCTTGAAAAGGGTTTATATTAATTCCACTTTAAGTGTTTAATAGAATCCACCAGTGAATCTTCTGGTCCTGGAATTTCTTTAGAGGTTTCAGTTCTTCAATCTTTATTTTCACAGGCTTGTTGAGATTTTCCTTTTGAGTCAGTTTAGGTATGTATTGTCAAGGAAATATGTCATAATGTCTGATCCATTTGTTAAATATATACAATTTTGAAATCATTTGTTCAGCTTTTAATATGTGCTAGATCTTATGTTCTCCACTGCAGAGAAAGAAACAGATGACTCAGTGGCTTCCCCAGTGTTCAGATGTCAGTGGTAGTTAAATGTGTGGACACTTACAGTTATCATAAAGTGACTATTATTAGGAATTTTGGACCACCACGCTTTGGAAATCAAGTATGAATCAACCCAGTGATCAATTCTACAAGAAATATGAAAAAAATACTCATCCATTTCTACTACTTCATACTTACTAACATTTCCAAATCACCATTCAAATTATGGAACCACAGTACTCTATGGTATAGTTTTAAACCTGCACTTACTATTTTACCATATCAATCCAAACCAGCTTTCCTAAATCTAGCATTCCATATACCCTGGTGTTATTTGTTGACATATGCATCCCTTCTTTCTAGCCTTATGTTCTCTTTGAGAATTTTGAATTTCCTACAATAGTGTTTAGCATAGTGCTTTGAGTATACAAGTGCAATATATTCTGTATATGAATGTATTACAAGAGTAGCTGTATGCTAGAACAAATGGCAAATTTAGAATCAACTATGAAGATGTGGAAAAGGCTTTCTGTGATGAGACCAGCGAATGTTCAAAAAATAGGGAGAATTTGAAGTAAGAAAGAAAAATTATTAGCAGTACCTTCACTCACTTATTTCTTTTATGTGTGTATGTTTTTTGACCATATATTTATACTTCTACTTTTATTAGTATTAATTTTCTATATCTTTCCTTAAAATCACAAGATATTTATCATCATTTTAAAATATGAATA